CACCAAATAATGTTCTTTTTAGCAACATTATATGACCCCTTTAAACCTTACTGACCTCAAATTTGGTGTATGTGTAACATCAAATAACAAACATCAAAACAATCATCTCTAAGTTAATATGCATTGCAAAATAAACACATTGAATATCTAAGAAATATAACCCTTAGGCATGTGGTCAAGAACCAACAATTAGGTACTGACTGCTTGATAACAAGTATCTCGTCAAATTCAAACCTTTTTCTGGGATTTGTAAAACCTACAAGGCCTACTGTTTGGAGCTGAAATGGAAACCAGCAGACAGAAGGAGGGTCAAAGGTTACAGTTCCATGGCCACATGTACCATGGTGACATGCGTAACAGCATGCAAAGAAACATGGTTGTACGGAGACTGGACTGTACCATGCTGTTTGTAGATAGGGGGCTTTCTATAGATATTATCTTTGACTTTAGTCTCTGAGAATGGAAGACAGAGAGGAAGAGAATAAGAAAGAAGATGAATAAAGAAGCATGAGTCATTAGAGGATGGAATCGGGGCAAAAGAAAGGGCAGAAAATGCAGTATATGACGCTGTAAAGGATTTCCATTTCATTCATCATGTTCATGATTGCCATGCATGATCAAGCATTTTGCCTTTGACAAAATCTTTGGCTTTGAAAAATTTTCTGCCGTCAGAATTATGTATAACATTATAAATAATGAAAGCTTTATCTCATTTTTAACTTAGAAGATAGAAATGTCACCTAAAATGAACTGAGCAGAGAGGAAAACAGGGAGATAAATGGAGTAATTGCAATTACATAATGTCTTAATAATTGACACAACATGTCTCTCTGCAGCTTGTTTAGGTCATCCCAACTTCACGTCTGCTTCTCAACTATTACTTCTAGAAAAAAAATCAGTCATTTAATGTAACACAAGTGGGACATTTTAAGAGCTGTTTCAGCATCTGCCAGCATTGGAAACAAGACGTCATTACAATTATGGGCAAAAAACACATGAAACTGATCATTAGATTTATTTTAAACGTATCCAGGGACGAGCAGTGACAGTAACAAGTTTCTTTTACGTACTAAAAATAGGGCTTTGCTTACAATAATGACTTATAAATGTATTAAACTGATGCAAATCATGATGCAATGATGCACAAAAATGACTGTGACCTTTCACAGAACAATATGAAGGCAGATTATGAATAAGAATTATTCAGTCTGCCAGATGTTTTCATAAAGGCAAATATGTGTTGAAAAAGAGGATTTAACATTGTACAAAAGTGAGGACAGAGCTGTGAGGGAAAAAAAAACCCTGCTGCTTTACCATAGTTAGCTAAAGAACAAGAGTTTTAGCACCTACCTGGGACATGGAAATGCCGTGGGGTCGCCACATATGTAGAGGAAGGAGATTTGCCATCAGAGTAGGTGGAGAAACTGGGGGTGCTCCGACCGCTTTCACTACCTCGGGGGGTGAAGGTCATGGCAGACACAAAAACGAAAAGGAAAGAGAAGAAAAGTTAACAGGGCTGCCAGAATGATGATTAATTTAGTCTTAGATCTTCCAACAAACCTCACAATACAGCCAGCTCTAAAAAGTATAAATTTGCCTTTGTGTTGGAGTTTGTGAAAGTATGTTGTGTTTATACTGATGGCATCTGTTCAGTAGACACTCAAATTTCATTGCTCTGTTTGAACTGAGTGGAGCCAGTATGAAGTGGACATAGACATGACTGTCAATGGCAGGCTGAATTGTGATGTTATCATCATACTCGGAAAAAAATATTAAGTATTTAAAATCACAATCTTTTACCAAACTGAGAGTAAAGGAGAGAGAGAATCTCTTTTTCAAATGCTCTTTTAAAGTCATTTGCCTATGTTGAAAGCCAAAATACACAAACAATAATCTCTTTCTCTGTCTCCTTTGTCTTTTCTTTCTCTCTTTCACACACACTTGCAACTGTTCTTCAGACACATGCACACACCATTTAACACACAAAGTGCTGTTAGTAAAAATTCACCCCCCGTATCAGGGGAAAATCTTCCACACATCTGGAGCTGGGGGAGCAGGAAATTGTCATAAAATACACTAAACATACACAGATCACAACACTGGAGCACACTATGAAGGTCTCAATGCTCCCATTACTCATCATTAAACTATGATTTTATGGATTGCAACACCCTTTTCATGTCCACTGGGCGTAATGCAGCATTTCATTGCATATTCTGTGAATTGTTTCTATCTTCAAGCTCTTCAATGATATGACAAGATCAAGGCAGCTACAGTCAGTGAGGTTTTGCATTTGTAAGGAAGAGGCGATTTTCCTCTTGTGTTGCTACTTTACCAATAAGTCAATTAGAAAGCCAAGTGAATCATAAATGGCACACTCCAAACGCAACCTCAGTGTACTTTCATGCAGCATTAAAGGGTTGGCCTGGAACTGCACAAGGCCTAAATTTATGCCACTATGCCTGGCAAACTGACCCAAAATTGCAGCTCATCAATTTACCCTTTAATCTTCTGCAAACTTTATTCCCACTCTCTCTACTTCTTGCAAAGAAATTGCCATCAGAGTAGGTGGAGAAACTGGGGGTGCTCCGACCGCTTTCACTACCTCGGGGGGTGAAGGTCATGGCAGACACAAAAACGAAAAGGAAAGAGAAGAAAAGTTAACAGGGCTGCCAGAATGATGATTAATTTAGTCTTAGATCTTCCAACAAACCTCACAATACAGCCAGCTCTAAAAAGTATAAATTTGCCTTTGTGTTGGAGTTTGTGAAAGTATGTTGTGTTTATACTGATGGCATCTGTTCAGTAGACACTCAAATTTCATTGCTCTGTTTGAACTGAGTGGAGCCAGTATGAAGTGGACATAGACATGACTGTCAATGGCAGGCTGAATTGTGATGTTATCATCATACTCGGAAAAAAATATTAAGTATTTAAAATCACAATCTTTTACCAAACTGAGAGTAAAGGAGAGAGAGAATCTCTTTTTCAAATGCTCTTTTAAAGTCATTTGCCTATGTTGAAAGCCAAAATACACAAACAATAATCTCTTTCTCTGTCTCCTTTGTCTTTTCTTTCTCTCTTTCACACACACTTGCAACTGTTCTTCAGACACATGCACACACCATTTAACACACAAAGTGCTGTTAGTAAAAATTCACCCCCCGTATCAGGGGAAAATCTTCCACACATCTGGAGCTGGGGGAGCAGGAAATTGTCATAAAATACACTAAACATACACAGATCACAACACTGGAGCACACTATGAAGGTCTCAATGCTCCCATTACTCATCATTAAACTATGATTTTATGGATTGCAACACCCTTTTCATGTCCACTGGGCGTAATGCAGCATTTCATTGCATATTCTGTGAATTATTTCGATCTTCAAGATCTTCAATGATATGACAAGATCAAGGCAGCTACAGTCAGTGAGGTTTTGCATTTGTAAGGAAGAGGCGATTTTCCTCTTGTGTTGCTACTTTACCAATAAGTCAATTAGAAAGCCAAGTGAATCATAAATGGCACACTCCAAACGCAACCTCAGTGTACTTTCATGCAGCATTAAAGGGTTGGCCTGGAACTGCACAAGGCCTAAATTTATGCCACTATGCCTGGCAAACTGACCCAAAATTGCAGCTCATCAATTTACCCTTTAATCTTCTGCCAACTTTATTCCCACTCTCTCTACTTCTTGCAAAGAAACCACAAAACCCAAATCTGTTTCATCATACTTTTTCCACCACTTCAGAGACATCTTATCTTTAGGAATAAATACTTCCCAATATATTCTAGATATTCATAGAATTTACATATGCACAGTGGGGTCCAAAAACCAGAGATCTGGAATTTTTTTTAAAACAGGAAATGAACAAAAAGTTTTAGGATTTTAAAAATCTTTTAAAGGTGGGGTATGTATTTTTTTAAAAACGCTTTAGAAAACTGAGTCGGGCCGAGTACCAAAACAAACTTGTAGCCAATCAGCAGTAAGGGGCGTGTCTACTCATGATGCGGAGGAGAGAGTGCTCAGTGCACAGGAGGACAGACATTAGCCGAGCTGAGCGACAGATAGAGATGGCAGATAAAAAACAAAAGAGGAAAACATCTGCGGAACAAAAGAAGGCTTACGATAAGGCATGAAGTAGGACCCATGTAAATATCGGATCAGCTTTCCAGTGCAGGAGAGAACTCAAGGAGCGGGAAGGCCTGCAATCGGACGCCGAGGTTGCTTTGTTTCTTCTCGATAAGTGAGTAACACCGTGTCTACACCGGACGCGACAGTTGTCGTGCCGCAACAGTCTGTCTACACTGGACGGGACAAAGCGACCATTAAAAATAATTTGAAATTTGTAAATAGAACGCAGCAGCAGTTTTCTGTCGGGGATTTGTCATGGCGCGCCGCTATACCAGTGTAGACAGCATCCCTGATTATAATGAGTTCTATAGTATTTTGTCGCGCCACTCGCGTCCGGTGTAGGCACTAGGGGTCGACCGATTATCGGCCTGGCCGATTATTGGCACCGATATTAAGCATTTTTATGATTATCGTATCGGTCATTTTCAAAACCGATTCACCGATAAAATGACTTAATTTTGAAACGCGCTATTTGGCTCTGATGCAGCCTGTCAGAACTCACCACTCTGTGGCCTAAAGCAGTCTCTGCCCACCGCTCATCTGATTTGTTGGGAGTCACGAGTCCGATCAATCAAAGCAGAATTCACTCTCACTCAGAAAGTGCTTGCTAACTGGAGCTGCTTCAGTGATCACACGTCAGTTGTCTCTCAAAGGTAAGGCAGCAGCAGACGTTGCTTAAGTTGCAATAAATCCCAATCCACTAACGTTACACTGAAGTTGCAAAACACCTCAATATTATCTATGATTTCCGCGATGCGGAAAACACGGACAGAATCGCGGAATCCAGTCATATAAATGGAATTTACTGTATGACGCGGAATGTCACGGAATTTGTCAAAGTTTGGATGAATTAAATATTGCTGCTTTTACTGTTTTCCCCCCCCCCAAATAAGTGCAGCCTTGGTGAGCATGAGACTTAAAAAATATTAATAAAAATATTAAAAAATATTAATATAAAAATATTACAAAATCTTACTGACCCCAAACTTTTGTGAACGTAATATTTATTTTAAATTGGCTAGTTTGTGCAAGTAAACTTAATTAAACTCGTTTCAGTATTTACCATGATAATATTAATAATAATAATACATTTCAGTACTTATGTAACACCATGTTTATTTTTCATGAGGTACCCTCAAAGGTGCACCTTTGTAACTTATCTACCCTTAAAACATGCATACTTGTATGGTACTAATATGCTCACTTTTAGGGGTATAGTTGCACCTTTGAGGTTACTGCCCCATTAAAGGGCTAAAATATATAATTATAGTATATTTTATTTCTAAAAGTGTAAACAAAAAAGGCCTATGAAATGTTAAAAAACATGGCTTTAAAATCTAATATTAAGTGAGTATAATTACTGTTTATATATTCTTTTAATAATTTAAAAGATCAGTTTAGTTTAGAAGTATCGGTATCGGTATCGATGATACTGGGCTTGAAAATAAAATAAGAGGTATCGCCCATCCCTAATCACTACATGAGGACATAAATACATGAACAATGAACAACATCTCCAGAACTGCTTTGATCCCTCTGAGAGTCACTTCATGATCATTTGACAGTTTCATTGGAGTAAAACTATTGTCATATCATTAGGTTACAGAAATGTAAAAGTTCCTCATGGCAACCCGTCAAAATATAAATTCGGGTTAGCTTAAAGAAATTATCAGAAATATATTACTGTGGTGCAGTATGATGTAATACTACTCATGGATTAAAGTTTTCCATCGCTACAACGGATTTCCATCTATTGAAAAAAAAAATTAGGGGAAAATTAACATGTAGCGCACTGTTGTTCTGCCGGTGTTCTGACGATTTGTTGGTAGCATAATCTGATAGGTAGCATTATTTGTCAGAACACCAGCACACCAAAAATCCTCCCCGCCATGGCTGCAGCTTCTCACTGACAACATAACGCCGCTCGCATCATTCACAGCCGGGTTATTAGCAGAGAACACAGAGCAGGTCTTCAATTTCAGGCACAGGATTGCGGCTAATAATAATAATAATTCTACTCCTTCCCGCAGGTTCCTCGTTTATCATTTGCACGCACTTTTGAGTCTTGAGAGCTCTCATTTTCTGTGCGCCCACAGATCGCGATAAGGAGGGTGACAGGTTTTAATAATTATTAAAGGAGTTTGCAAATGTGATATTAATTTAATACAACAGTTCAATAAACAAGTACTGCCTGATTCTGCTCGGTTTCATCAACGAAAATAGTTCCAAATAAAGTAACAGCTCAGCCGCTGTGCATCTCTAAAAGCAAACACAGCGGTTTTTCATTCATGAATGAAAGTGCGTTTTTGAACGAATCTAGCGAGTCAGTGATTCATGATTACCCATTCATAAAGAATTGTTTCATGAATGAATCAGCTGTTCAAACGAATCAATTGAATGAATGATTCAGTGATAAAATCATTGACTTGTCGCCACCTGCTGGTGGTTTCAGTTTCATTTTTAGGTATAATTTCAGTTATTTAAATAATTTAATATTTCTGTATTCAAAATTGTATATTTAAAACATTAATCTCCACATGAATTTATGAATTTAATTACCTCTGAGCCTCATT